GGCCGCGAAGCGGCCCTCACTTCGCTAGTATATATTATTTTACTTCATATACGATATCAATACAATTCTCAAATTTTCTAGAATCTTGAACCATTCTATCATTGGGTGGTCTCTCCGGTGGGATGCATTGTGATTTCAATTGCGCCGTCGGCCATGACTCTGCCACCGCCCGACACTCCCTTGCCTTCAAGTTCACCGCCGCCGTTGATCAAACCGGCGCCATCTTCTCGCACTTTAAAGTAAGCATGCGGTCTGATTGCCCTGAAAGTTCAATGAATCTCAGCTTCTGGAATATTTTACAGGAAATGTCGTCATCACCTGTTTAAATGGGCATAACTCTGGAATTTTCGGAGATTCAGCTAACTATTACGGCAGAAATTTAAATCTTGGCCTACTTTCATATTTCAGTGCAGTTGGTATCATATTGAAAAAATTTTCTGGAAAATTACATTGGAAATAAAAAGCATTTTTGGTGCGAGACAAAAATTGATACAAACTTCAAATTCAATAAAAGATTAAAGTCACTTGAAAATTTAAGTGATCTTTGATCTCTTATCGGCTTTTCCATTTTTTAGATTTAGAAAAAGTTTGTTGTTCAAAAATAGTTTTCCTCCAAATCAACAAAATGCCTACTAAGTAATGGTAATTAGTGAGACGATCTACCTGTAAATTACCAATTCTGAGGAATGATCGGCAAAAAATTGATTACCGAAGCATTGTCCTATTCATTTTGTTTTTTATTGATTTTTTATCACATTAAAAATTTCGGCTGGAAGTGGAATGCTTAGTCTTGCCTTTAAATGGGCATAACTCTGGAATTTTCTGGGAATCAGACATTACTATTACATCAAAAATTTAAACCTGGCCTACTTTCATATTTCAGTGCACTTGGTATCATATTGAAAAAATTTTCTGGAAAATTACGTTGGAAGCAAAAAAGCACTGTAGGAGCAAGACAAAGAATGATACAAACTGATTTCAAATTCAGTCCAGAGTAAAAATTAAAAGATGGTCACTTGAAAATTTGACTGATCTTTGATCTCTTATGGCCTTTTTATTTTTTGGAGTAACCTAACTTTTTATTTTCTAGGGTCTACATTTTATCAAAAAACGAAATATTTGTCTCTATGAGAATTTTCATCAATGGTGCATTCGAGAATACGAGGATTCTATATTTAAAACTTTAGCTTTAGAAAAAGTTTGTCATTCAAAAAAAGTTTTCCACCAAATCCAGAAAGTGCCTACTCGATCTCTTCCCGATTGCTCATCGTCAAAGTTATTGTATTCTCGTCTGTCAAGTTGTCATTTGTCTGGTGCAGAATAAGTTTTACACCGCCGTCGGCAGTGACATGTCCCTTGCCGGAGACGAGTCTGCCGCCGATCATTCCTCCGCCACGAAGTTCTTTGGTGCCATCTTTTCGGAATGTCAAATTGGCATCTCGGATTATTTGGGACATGGTATTAGAGCAATGGTAATTAGTGAGATGATCTACCTGTAAATCCAGGTAAACATTAGGTTTAAAAAACGATGCTCCATGTTCACTGAAGGAATTCACTATTCGGGACTTTTTAGAGTGAATAAAAGTAATTTGGGCACTTTTTAGATCACGGTAGGTTTGCTACCAGCACTTTTTCAGAGTTACGTGATTTGAGGTTTTAAATTTATGACTCATGGAAGGTTTTGGCGGGAAAATATGGGGGTTTGAATTGGAATTTTCTGGGATCTCGGGTTTTTGTGATATTTGAAGGGGATTTTTGGCCGGGGGTTTCAGGTAGGGGGAATCCGAATCTGTCTAAAAGCCCGGAACCCTATATAGACGTATTCATACTGATTCAGACTCCAGTCAGCACGGTTTGGCCGGTATTCTATTCCATAACGTTGCAAAATCATAGCTGATTCACCTCAATTATTTCAAATTTCAATGACCTGTGATGTCTAAAACCTACGTCAGCCGGAAAATGCATACTCCCTAAAGCGTCATTATCCGTCCGTCACGGAATTTTACTCCCATGGTCGGCGCTAAAGTAACTTGGGGAAGTTGCTTATTGGGGTCGACTTATATGACGTAGTTTTTATAGCACAGGGATCCTACCATTATTTTCTGAGTTACCGTTATCACCCGGGCGCAGCTGGGAATGGGCTGGCGGGCGAGTCGCGCAGGCGAAAATGGGCGCAGATGGGGGATTCCATGGGGCGAAGCCATATAATGTTTATGTAAACATGTTGATGTAAACATGTTTATGTAAACATGTTTACATTAAAAATTGTGTTGAATTTTGGGACGGGGGGATCATACGGGCGGGTACTGATTCAGACTCCCGGTACCGCGCCGAAGGCGCGGTGGCGCTCACTATACAAGGCCTTGAATGGGGAGCCGTGTTTATAGAAACCACACTACGGTTTTATAAGCGCCAAAACATCAGAGATCAGATTATGGATTTGGAGAGAAAAATAATTGGGTGTGTCGGAATATGTGGTTGTGCGGACAGTGTAACCACAACATGCTCCTTGATTATGGCTTATCCTACCCTTTTATAGCGCGAGGTAAGTTGGCTATAAATACCGCTCAGCTTTGTAGCCAACAAGGAATCGAGATTAGCGAAAACGAGAATTTGTATTTGGTGTTTGTCCGTTTAAGCCTGACGATTACGATTTTTTATTATTTTGCTGAGTAAAAATTAATAAGTTACGAGAGTGGAGCGCAGCGGCCTTTGCCTCTGGCACGGGCCCAAATTTTTGGCACAGAAGGGTTTTCGAGCATGCTGATCACGAATCTGGCATCAGACCTGCTGTGACAACCTCGTGAGAGATATCGTGTGAAAGCCACGACTTCGTGAGAATTGATCCCGAATCTGACATTGGATTCGGATTCAGCAGCATCGAAAACCCGGGGTACAAAAAAATAATCCCCGTATATACTTTGGTTTCAAAAATGTCAATTTTTGGGCAAAAAGTGACTTTTTCCAGAAAATTTTAAAAATGCCCCAAATAAAAAAGTGTAAAAAGCCAAGTTGTCCAGAATTGCCCCACGAATCGATTGGGAAAAAACACCATTTTGTAAGAGATAAGAGAGCCATAAATTCTGCTCAGTCATGTGATTAACGAGAATTGAGATACACCAAAACAAGAATTTGTATTTGGTGTTTGATCGTCTATGCCGTCACGGCAATTTGTACTATTTAGTAGAATAATTTAAAAGAGGTATAGTATTAGAGACGCAGACGAACAGGATAATTAACTTAAGATAAGACTAGCCATGGGGGAATGTCTTCGGCACTTATATGGGTACGTGATATCAGTCCTCTTAATTATTTTTTGATCTCCAAGCTATACCTATAACCTGGCACAAATATATAACCCGCAAAAATTAGGGCACATTTTAGCCAAATTTTATCTAAAATTAGCTAAATTCAGACCTCAAATTCGTATTCCCCGCAAATGTTACTTACGGGCGGGATGTAACTTGGTACAAAACAGTTTTTCTGGCTCTAATAGGGCCCGCAGTTTTAACCCTAGTGCGGCATATACCGCTTCCTTGTATGGTTCATGTCTGAAAAGTGTGGGACGACTGGTTCTGCGCAGCGGGCATTTTGAGTCACTTTAAAAGTGCGGTAATTTGAATTGGGTTTTGGGCGTCTGGCCTGATTTGGGCGGTATTCGTTGGTTTTGGCTTTATAGATACAGTTTTAGAATCTAGAGTGATTATTAAAGACCCCAAAAATATTTTTAAAATAAAAAAATATTTAAAAAATATTTTGGACTTTTTTTAACTAAAATATTTTAAAAATATTTTTTTATTTAAAAAATATTTTGCATATTTTGGAAATTTTACTTATATTTTAGTAAGTAACGGGTGATAACTAATTATTGGCAGTAAATATATTGTATTCAAAAATTATATTTTTGGCGTTACGTTCCGATGTGTCAGTTATGTTAGTTGTAGCAAATTTTGTCTAGTTTCCGAAAATGTATAACATGTCTGTTCGATAACTGTTTAAAATTTAAGAAGTATGGCATCGAATGAAGACACCCTCAGAATCCGAGTGTACAAGTTCCATTCCGAAAATTTTACACCTCGACTTGACATAATGCGAACTCCGCCAAAATTAGAGCGCCGGCGGAGCTGTAAAAACAGTAATACAGCCAAGAGCCTTGTCCAGGATCCCAGCATGAGTATTTATCCGATACTCCCCTGGAATGCCAAAAATTCGGGTTTTAAATTTTTGACCAGGTGTGTCTGCAGAAATTATCAAAATTTTCATAAAATTGATAGTCTTCTTTCAGAATCTTATATGCAGATAAACTAGACAAAAATCTGAAAATTATATCCTAAACCACTTTAAAAGTGCGGTAATTTGAATTGGATTTTTGGGCGTCTGGCCTGATTTGGGCGGTATTCGTTGGTTTTGGCTTTATAGATACAGTTTTAGATCTAGAGTGATTATTAAAGACCCCAAAAATATCTTTATAAAAAAATATTTAAAAAATATTTTGGACTTTTTTTAACTAAAATATTTTAAAAATATTTTTTTATTTAAAAAATATTTTGCATATTTTGGGAATTTTACTTATATTTTAGTAAGTAGCACAAGCACAAGCAAAATTTTCGCGGCGGCCATCGGCCGCCGCGAAATTTTTTTTTGGCGGAGACATTTTACCAAAAAATTTTGCCGAAAATTTTTTTTACGAAATTTTTCAAAAAAAATTTTTTTTTATTTTGCCGTTTTTTCCAAAATTTGTTATATTTTGTTGAATTTTTGCTTTTAATTTAGTCTGGAGTAACAATGAAGGCTAAAAAAGCAGAATTAAAGTCTAGAATCGGCAAAAAATAGCTAATTAAAAAAGTATTTAAAAAAAAAATTTAAAATTTAAAATATTTTAATTAATTAAAACCGGAATTAAAAAAATTTTTTTGGGGTCTTTAGTGATTATATACAAATATTGACTGTTTGTAGACAAACTGAGTTGTTGACTGATAGTTGAAAAAATAAATAATGAAAGGTCCATGTGGGGGTTGAACCCACGACTTTCTGGTTCGAAGCCAGACGCCCTTCCACTGGACCAATGGACCCCATGTGGAGAAGGGAGAAGAAATCACTTATAAATGAACGGGGTGGTTAAATTTGAAACGGCCAAATCTCTCGAAACTTTTGGGCTGTTGGGCTCGTTTTTTGGCGAAAATGTAGGTCTTGGCTTAAATTTTTTAATTTCAATTCATTTTGCATTTTATTGCGATGATTTTTGCGTAAATTTAAGAAAAAACAACTTTGCAGAAAAATTATGAAAAAGAAGCTTTGAAGCAAGAAAAATGTTAATTCTTGGCATGCGCCTGTAAAAGAACATTTCCAAAATGGCAGATTTCTTGTTATTAGGTTAAGTTTTGAGACTCGAGGCAGGGTTTTTTAACGGAAAATCGAGGTCCGAAAATTTTGCCGATTTCTGTAGAAAACGAGTCCTAAATTTGTGTTGAGAGACTTTGTGTGTCCCTTGTAGCTCTTCTTTGTAGGACGTTTTCTTTTTGAGTTTAGCAATGTTCTTGTGAGTTTAGCCAATGGCTTGTAGTGTGAAGCCAAGAGAAGAGACGTTTTATTGGAGCTGAGGAGCTCGTGCTAAACTGTGCTAAAACTGATATTTTACAAGCATTCTCGACTATTTATACGATTTTTGCCTCGAAGGGCGATGAATAATTATGACTAGAGACTAGAGGCGAGAGAAATAACAAAAGGAATTCTTTCCAGGAAAATGACTAGTTTTGTATGAGATTTTATAATAAATTTCTAAGGAATGATTGCCAGAAAGAAAGTCGAAACCTTTCGGTTTTCGACAATTTCACCTATATAGGGATTTTTTGATGCAGGGAATCCGAATTTGAGGTCAGATTTTAGTTGGTCCCGCCACGAAAACATGGAAAACAGCTATTTCTTGTTATGTTAAAAGCAGTTTATGTTAAAAACAGTTTAAAAAAGTTCTGGCTCATCCAAAATTTGCCAAACTCAAAATAAGGATTTTGATTAGGCACAAAACAAAAAAAAATAGTTATCATTATCGCATTAGCTCATAGGCAATGTCAAAATTTTGGCACCGAGACATCTGCCACCCGACAAGTGCCACCCCGACTTCTGCCACCGCGACAGCTCCCACTTCATACTAGAGAACAGCCTCTGCATGGGACAGTGACTACGAAATAGTGTGTATTTCTAACCGTCTGCGGCCCATCGTTCCTATGTCTTTTTTGACCCAGCCATTTGATAAGAGCCTGAAGGAAAAGTTGAAGGTGGCAGATGTCGGGGTGGCACTTGTCGGGTGGCAGATGTTACGGTGCCAAAATTTGATGTGAAAGGCAAATAAAAAACAAGAAAAATTGGCGCTTTTTTCAGGTTCATTTTATGAATTTTTGCTAAAAATTACAAAAGTGTGTGGGATTATCGCGTACTCTTAGCTTAAGCAGCATCTTTCCAGGATTAAGTCACTGGCAGAGAAGAAGGATTACCGTTCAAGTGTCATTTTTTCTTTTATAACTATAAACTTGATGCGATTTAAAAGTACAATCTCGAATAAAAAATGTTTCATTCACGACAAAATTTATTCAGACAATCGATAATTCAACACAGTATCGAAAAATTTCACTTAAATTAATCTAATAAAGTAATCAAATACGTAAAGATCAAAGATCAAAGTCAACAAAAATCTACAGTCGAAGAATTGCACAGCTGAGTCACTGCGTTTAATTAATGGATTTTTAATAACGGTGATTATGTAAGGAAAAAGACAGATTTTAAGGCGACAGGTTTCGTTTTTATTTTCACTTTCAATTCGAGAATCGGAGGGAAAATTCCAATAAAAACAGAAAATATTACAAATTTTTGAATAATTTTCAAATAAAACCAATCTAAAATACCGTACTCCCTCTAATTGAACCCCTGGTGGCTTCTATTTTCAACCGAACCGAGTTCCAGTCAGGACCCGATCCAAGGAGTTAGCATCCGGATTTGGCACAAGGCCAAAAATTTCCCATTAACCCCCCAGGCGCTTCAATTAGAGAGAATACGGTAGTTTAATCCATAAATTAGCTGCGGTAAATCAAAGGAAGAGGGCCGTTATAATTAAAAGTGCAAAGACAGAAACTTGAAACAAATTTGAAACAGAAATGAGATTGTTCTAGAAGGAAAGGTTAGTCTTAAAGGCAGAGTTCTCGAATAACGGTAAAATGAAAGGCATTGATTTGTAGACAGAGAAACTTTTTTCTGGATGTCTGCCCGTTTTTGGATTCTGGATCGGCTCACAACGCCACGCTCTTGAGGAGAAGCATCACCAGGGCGCTCATGACACCTGAACCGAGATTGGTTAGCTTTGATGAGATAAAAAAGAAAAAATACCTGCGATGGGGAGCGTGACGAGCCACGAGAGTGATATGTTGCGGAACACGGACCAATGCACGGCTGGACCTTGGTGCGGTTGGACCAGGCCGACGGCCACAACACTGCCCACTTTGCATTGGGTCGAGCCTGAAATTTTTGATTTTGTACTTTTACTATTTTTAATAGTGCAAATTTTTGAAATCCCGCGTCCGCAGGCAAAATTTGCTAAAAAGTGATATTTTGCCCAAAAAAATTGGTCAAAATTGGATCCTAAGTGAAAATTTTTGGTAGAAATTCAAACTTTTTTGAATTGGCGCGGAGTTTAGCCTGAAAATTTGCTTTTATAAAAGTACTATTTTTTATCAGTGCAAATTTTCGATAACCCAGCTTTTAGCGGTAAATTTTGCTCAAAAATGCTAAAATTTTTGTTAAAAATTGGTATTATACAATTATTTATTAGAAAAGATACAACTTTTCACCAAAAAAGTTCGATTTTCCCAAAAAAATGGTAAAAATTAGTTTTTGTGGTCATAATTTTTGGTCAAAATTCAAACTTTTCCAAAAATCTCATATTTCGCTAAAGTATAAAAACTTTGAACCATCTCAGCACAGCCCAACTTGGCAGATCGGCCAGTGATTAGTTCTATTAGCGATTACAAATGAAAGCCGCAATAATTAGAAGGCTATCTAACAATGCGCTCTTCAAAATAATGTGGCGGCAATTTGAATGTACATTTTACACACTCACAAATAAATGATTGTGTACATTTTGGCAAAGGAAATAAATGATGACTATAATTTATTTTAGTCATCATTTTATTGTCATCATTTATTAGCTTTGGCAAAATGTACATTCAAATTGCCGCCATGTTATTTCGAAGAGCGTATTATTAGATAGCCTTCTAATTATTGCGGCTATCATTTGTAATCGCTAATATGTCCCCTAACACCCAAACAAGGTCCTCTCTGATTCCAAAAACAAAAAAAAAATCACTTACTGATCGGCAGGCCCAACTTGCTGGCCAACAAAACTGTCACCGCCGATCCAAATTCGATCGCAAATCCACTAAAAAATTGCAAAATTATTAAAATTTCCGACTTTTTTGGACAAGAAATTCAAATTTTTACCTTGGAGGTGTGATTTTCGTGAGGTTTTCTCCCACGGTGTAGATGACCCGGTGTCCGAGAAGCCAGAGGCCGACGCACATGCCAGCTGCGCCGTAGAGCAGAAGATAGATTGGGGTTTGCTGAGTCTGCTGAACACTGCCCTCGCGATAGATGGCGAAAAGAGACACCAGAGGCGCTATTGCGTTGCTGGAATGGAATTTTTGTTTACAATCACGCTCGGTTCAAAAAACCACGTTTGAATCGGCGGCTTTGGCGCGGTTGCGCCAAACCACTTCTGGAACATTCTAGAAGGGTGTGTAATGGCTTAATCGAAAGCACTCCGCAGCATTAATATGAGCTATTACTCACTTTTCTAGAATGTTCTAGAAGTGGATTGGCGCAAACGCGCCAAAGCCGCCAATTCAAACGTGGTTTTTTAACCGAGCGTGATTTTATTTGATTGAAATTCTGGATCTGGAAATTTTTTTGACAAAATGGCTTGTTCTAGCCTTTAACTCAAGACTGAGGTCAAATGACAATATAAACACTACCAGGCTAAGGCATAATTTCGCGGACTGATATTTGAGTGTTTAAATTCGCGCCATTTCAGTTTAGCCCCTTTAGAAGGGGGTTAGCGCAAATCTGATATTGGTAACCCCTTCTAGAATACGATTTTAAGAGGGGTTACCAATATCAGATTTGTGTTTTTTTACTATGAGATAATTTTTAATGAAAATTTTTTCATGAGAATTTTGACATACCTGACATCATTGCCACCTTAAAATGAAAAATAAAAAAATAAAGCTATCCAAAAAATTCTTACCGTGAGCGAATCCTCCAAAACACGCGGTCAAAATTTGCAAGAAGCTGAACAATTTCGACACTTGCGGGTCTTGAGGCTTTTTCGAGCGGAAGAAACTGAGCAGCGAAGAGGCGGGCTGGATTGCTCCGGGCGCTGGAATTGAGGTGAAATTTGAATAAAACAGTTTTTGAAAGGAAATTTGAATACTATTTTTTACACATTTTTTCATGAAAAGAAGAACTTCTCCGTGGACACTTCGTCCCATATTAAAAAAGCTTCTAGAACGTTCTAGAAGGCTATGATAGCTTAAAATGATCCCTAGTCTCCTAAAGCTTTAGGCCTAAAAATAAGCTTAATCCTAAGGCTAAGCCTAAGTTGTTCGAACTTAAGCTTGATCCTAAGTTGTTCACCTAAGACCAAGGAATATCTTAAGCCGCTCTATCCTATTGTAGGAGGCTCCCAAAAAAGCTCGCAAAAAATCAATAGGGGGGACCCTATGGTTCGAAAAATCATTTTCGGAAAAATTTTGCAAAAAAATAAATAGGGTCTCCCCTACTGATTTTTTCCGAGCTTTTTTGGGAGCCTCCTACAATAGGATAGAGCCTCTTAAGCTATCACTCAAAGCTTAAGCTTAAGTGTGAGCTAAGTTATATATACGGGGACTAACTGTGCTGCTCCCTATTCAACACTCTATTAGCCAAAAAAAGTTTACCGTGTCCCCCATTGACGCCATTCTGATAAGGCATCCTGGTCATGTCCATTTCCGTGGCCCTAGGGATGTGTTCGAAGGCCACCTCCACCTTG